ATCTGGTTGTATTACTACTGATTACGGATGAGGGACTAACCATGATCAATCATATCACGGTCTCCTCTTGAAATTAGTTTGCAAAACTTCACTTATTTTAGTCTGTTAAACACAAATTAAGATATTTTGAAGAATGTTGGAAACATGCATTGACATTAAGAGTAAAAAAGATTCATCTTATATTTCATTATCTTTTTAGTTAAGATAACTTCAAATAATTTTAAATCAAATATTGAAAATATTTTCTTTCTTTTTCATTTTTTTTCTAGTAAAAATATACGTTGAGTCTTTTGTTGAGTACAATTTTAATCTTTTTATGTTATCTTGGACAGTTGGAGCCTTCGATACCAAAAGGTTGAGAACCACTGATCCACAAGGAAAAGTGCCTATAAATCAACAATTCAGCGTTTGAACAAGAAATAGTACAACTAAAAATGATTTAAATGATTCTGTCATCATTTACTCTTCCCTCACTTGTTCCAAACCTGTTTTTCCAACTCAAAAGAAGATATTTTGGAGAAATCTCAAAACCTGTAACTATTGATGTCTGTAGTATTTGTTTTTCCTATGGAAGTCAATAGTTACAGGATTTTATCTTCCTTCAAAATCTCTTCTTCTGTTTTCAATAGAATAAAGAAACACATAAAGGTTAAAACATCTTAAAGGTGAGAGCATTTTCATTTTAACAATGTCCTTTAAAAAAAAAAAAACACTTTTCTGTTTAAGAGTTCTGACCAGATTAGCACAGCAACAATGACTCAAATTTAAGGCGGGGTCATCCGTATGACAGACCAATGGCAGAGATGCGAGTATTAGTTTTAAAACACAGCTCCATTTGGTGTCGCTAGTAGCACAGAAAACACATACTTCATTTCTTGTGCACACACGCACATACATGCACACAATGTATCAGTTGACTACATCAATATAAACTCTGCTTCTGGTCTCTCTCTTTTTTCGTCCATCTCCTCTATATTTCTAACCAACAATCTTTCTCTCTTGTTGAGTAAAAAGTCAACACTCTACCTAAATTCTTCATTTATTTTCTCTGCTGGAACTCTGTCATCCAATCTCTTATAGGCTTTTCTTTCTTCCAGCGTTGTTCTCCTGGGTGGAGAAGCATGTGCTTGTCAGGGTCTCTTTCCTCCTCTCCTCCCCTGCCCTCGTTCTCTCTTGCCGCGTCTCTGAGGTGGTAGAACAGTAGGCCGTGTAGCAGCGCAGTAGGAAGAGTTTGTGTTGAGATCCTTGAGCTGTGGCTCTTTTACTCCTCAGTTTTTCATTTCACATTATTTTCGTTGCCTTCATCAATTTTCCCTGGGAAAGCAGGCCTGAGGGAACAGATGGAGGGACGTGTTACAGAAAAATGTTCACTTATTCATCTTGACTACGTCCACTACAGACTAAAAGCCATTTTTAATGATAGAAAATTATTTGAATGATATGTTATTTTAAAAGAATCATTTGCTGAAAAATGATCAATAATAATCCAGTCCTCCATCACACACTTTCTTATATGGTACACAAAAATTAAAATAATTTTAATATTCAAGTGTTTTCTCCTCTAATTTTAGCCTTTGCTTTAAATTAAATATACAAAAGTTTTAAAATGTCATTTTTATATAAACTGTTTAATTTAACAGGAAAATTTTATCCACATGCTAAGTGTACTAAGGTAAAAAGGGTCTAATTGTGTCAAATAACTTTTGTGAAAATAGAATATTATGATATAGAGCAGTTGAAACGATCAGTAATATGATTTTTAGTTATTATTATTATTTACAAATGATATAATAAATTTTCTAATTTTTATGCTCATTTAAGAAAATTTGTTGTGTTTAAAAGAAAACCCACTAATATCGACATGTTTAGATGTTGTTGTTGTTGTTATTATTATTATTATTACTACTATTATTATTATCATCATTATTGTGTATGCCTATTTAAACACGCAGCCATAACCCAGAGTGTTCACTTTCGCTTAGCTTCAAGTTGTGTGTACAGAATTTGGGAATCAGTGTATATTTATCACTATAAAGCTCGTCTGATAGTCACGCAACTGACTGTTTTGAGGATTGCATAGTAGAAGCAATGGTGCCTGTAATGGAAAGAAAGAGATTCCCACGATTTTTATTTTAATTTTAAAGTGTTTTCGTGCCTAAATAAAATGAAAGCGCAGTACAGATTCACATTTAAGAGCAAGGGGCGTCCTTTTGTGGTTCGGCAGAATGAGTTTCGTATAAGGAGGATCGGCTCTTTGATATTTATTGCCACCCTTCTTAGAAAGATTACAAAAACTGGAAAAAATACAAGAAATACCTTTACAAGATGATAGCGGGATGGAATTGTAAAATACAGGAGAAACCTGGGAAAAACGGGAGGGTTGACAGGTATGACTTAAAGTTTATAAAATAATAAGTGATCATGCTAAATTGTTCAAAATTGTTCTATTCCACTGCATAAGAGTAAAGAAAAAACACATGACAACATTAACATATTGGATTTATGTTCATTTGTGCCTCATAGCTCATCCTTTTACTTCCTCTGTGTTATTTGCCTTTAAACTAGTCTCAGTATACACCACTTTAGATTACCAAGAATAACATATACTTTAAGGGCCCAGTCTTCTGAGTCAATTTTCATTACCTGCTAAAAAAGCTGAACAGCTCCGGGCAGCATTCTGGCACAAACTCTGAAACAAAAAGCCATTTTAGCTCACATCTCAAAGCTGTGTTTAAATGTATAGATTTTAAGAGGTGTTCACTACATGATACAAATGCGGGCCGCACGTTAATTTCCTCTGAAATACCACACCGCTTTTTGGAAATTCTGAGTCAGGCAATGAGCGCGCAAATGTCCACATGCATGTCCAAGGCGTTCATATGTTTTCAATTGCACCAACATGATTATGTGTCTGACATATCGTTGCTGCAGCCTGTGTTTCATTCCCACCTATTTATCGAATATCAGGTCCTGGTAACCTGGTATCCATGACAACCCGATTGTCACGGCGATCGCATCTGTCCAATTAGTCGCGCTTCATTACTAAGGGATCTCAGCCACGGGACTGAAACAGACCTGATTAGAGCTTAGAACGGAGGGCCAGATCTCTTCTGCACAGGGGGAGTTGGGGAAAGTCTTTTTAAAGCAGAGACCCCCGGGAGACTCACTCTGTCAGGGGCAAGAAGAGGTCAACAGGAGGTTCTCAGCTCAATCATAGACTGTCATCTCCTCTGAAAGTCACTGGTGTAATCAGTGAAGGCAGTATTCAACCGTCCTCACAGGGCAGAGTCAAGTAAATCAATACCCAGTGTGCAGCTTCTAAACTTTACCCTTTGACCCTGAATGTGGGCGCAAGAGCAAGGGAGGTTTCAGCACATGTCACCAACCATGATGTTCTCTGATTGAAAGGCACTTGACAGACTAAGCACAGTTCATCCATTTCACACAGGTATATATGTTCCAATTGCCCTTTGAAGTGCATGGAGAAAAGACATTCGGTTCTGTTCAAGGAATAGTTCGACGCAACAGGAAACATGGTGTTAATTTACTCACCCTTCAGGTCATCCACAATGCAGGTGAGTTTTTCTCTTGGGTGGAACATGAAAGATGAAGAAGTCAATGGCTTACTGCACTTTAGAAGGCAAAACAGGCAAATGAAAGTTAATGCATGGCTCTTGAAAGTTCATTAAGGTCTTATACAGTGAAACAAAAATTTGGTGCAGGAAATGGAACATTATTTTGATTATTATGACAATTCTTGGCCTTTTCAAATGGTCCAGAGCACAAGCTTCTTTCTTACGTCTTCTTGCTTACAATGACATTTCGTCGCCTTGGAGCTTCTATTTGCGTTCTAAATGATTTCGACATATTGAGCTTCAAAGTTTTTGTATTCCATATTGCAAAAAGTATGTGTAACATTTCTCTTTTATACATTAACAGGACAGAGAGTCTAAATGCACTCTCAAATTTGCTAAATACAAAAACAAGTCAAATGCAGATAGAACCTACTAATTCTACAAATTAATGTTCTGCTTGGAAGTATAAGGTTCTATCTGGCAGGTCATTCATTAAAGCGTTACTTTTCAAGAAATACAATCAGTTTGCTGATTAATTGATTAAAAATTGGTGTTGTAACATCTTGATGTTTAAAAAGGTTAAATGTTTTTTGCTTTCTATAACATTCATGTAATGTTTTAATAAGAATATTTTTTCTTGTTCAAGTTAAGTATACAGTACAAGGCTGTGCTAAATATTTTGTCCAGTGCAGATGTTAATTTTATGTAATTAACATGGTCATATTTATTTAATTATATGCTTCATATGAATGATTGAATTATATGTATTGAATATATGCCCCTTGAAATTAAATTATTTGCCTTTCAAGGTTTAGTATCAAATGTAAAGACTTTAAAAGAAAACAGACAGTGAGGAAATGAGTTGATTAATAAAGTTTAACAAACACTGAAAAATGTTTCACTGACTTTATATACACACATAAAAATATTTCACATTTAATATTTCACATTTTTATATAACCGTTTCTTTTTCAACAATGTAAAATTTAGCTTTTCATCTCAATGTCAAAAATGCTTCTGAATTATCACATTTACAGACATATTTTCAGTTTTGGGTTTCTTCTCACTTTTGTGTGGTGCGGCATTGTTTAGTCAACTCCAATTTTGTGTTTCTTTCTGGTCTTTCCTACTGTCAACGGAGCAGTTCTGCGAAATGACAAAGAAAGCTCATCCTGATTGGTCCTTGAGCATGCATTCGAAATGCTGATTGGCTCAAAGAAAGAACCTTATAGAGCTAAGCTAGAGTTCGACTTTGTAGATAAAAACCTTTTTTGTTTTTTAAATAAAAAGTCTTAAAACAACTTATACAAAAACATCATATAATGTAAATAAGTAGTTATTTAATAAGAATATGTGAATAGCTCAATTTTGACAAAAATGTCAGATAGAACCTTATAATTCTAAGGTGACGAAATGCACACTGTAAAAAAAATCTGTAAAATAACAGTTAAATGACTGTATATTTTAACAGATTTTTTCCGTATACACGTATTACGGGTGTTTTTCCGTTTATATACATTTTCAAATTGCATTGTGGGAAGGGGATCGCAGCTCAGGCAGCGTTTGATGGACATCGGGACATATTTCTTCCTCTGTTTTTTACCTGGTAAGTACGATTAATAAAACATATAACAATATTTTAGTTAAAAGACTGCTTTATTACCTTTTTATCGTTATTTAAAATGATTTTGTCTTGTATGAAGTGCCCATGGAAAGTACAGCAGTGAATTACGTTTAATATTGTTAATAAGATCAGACTTTATTTCATTAAGATCAAACTGAGCTATGAGTGGTTAAATGTAATTTAAACAAGCATTTACCTAATGATTTTTTACCTTTTTATGCGTTTTCCTCATCAGTAAATATGGTATCTGTTCATTTACAGTTGTTTGTCCGTATTTTTCTAAACTGCCGTGCGCGGGAAGTGACGTGACGTCCCAATCACCCACTCACTCTCTCTGCTCTGCACCTGCGTGAGTCTGACTGGATTAACGGTACGTTAAACGTCAGCTTGTCTGTGAGAGTGTGAAAGGTATGTTAATTATTTAATAGAAATATAAATGTTTTCTTTGTACAGTGCATTGAACAAGGGATAGCATTCAAAGTTTGTGACACTGTGTAGTTTGGTTGATATACGTTACCTTTAATGAACACTAACGTCAACGTGTTTCAAACGCTCGTAACACCCGTCTGTGTTTGTTTGCATATTAATAACTAATTTCATATTTTTACTGACGTTATCAAATGTTAGCTTTAGTTTGACCGACGTTTTAAGACTGCGGTCAAGCCAGCCGCGGTTCGGAAAAACACAGTCAAGCCAGCCGCGCTTTATATTTTGGTGCGCGCGTATTATTATCATTACGGTAATGTCAGCAGCCACACAGAGAGCGCTCCACAGAGCACCCATTTCGCCCAGAACAGAGAGATGACAACGAAATTTAAGTTTATCCCCCTTTCCTCCCACGTATGCTTTATTAAACAATTTATTAGCTTTTTTGACTGTTGTTATTTTAAGAAATTGGTTTCTGGGCTTACCTTTAATTTCCTCAAGTCTATCTTTTTGCTTCAAATGATTTTATAGCAGATCAAACGGACAGAATAAATATACGATTTCTAAATACACAGAATGCGTTTCTACTTCTCCTAGCCAACTACAGTACATTGCAAATAAAGTTGAATGCAGTTTTATACATCGTGCCTAACCTCAGAAAGTGAAAACAATCATAAAGTAGTCCAACATAGCATTGTTTAAGTTACAAATATATGTTGGTTTTATTTAAAGGGTATTTAAAAATGTATGCTTCTTTCAGTATATGGGATATGGGGCATTATTACACTTTAGATGACTGTAAAGACCTTATTATTTGTTATAAGTAGAATAGAACAACAATAAGATCGATGCAGGAAGTCAAATACTAAGCATACATCATATGAAGCCTGTTTTATTGCAGCATTTTGGAGAAATGTACCATTAACACACTTTAAAGTGCTATAAAGAAATAAGTAGAAAAAAAAACAAAGTTTGGTTCTGATACAGGATGTACATGCATACCTCATGTGAAAGACCTCATTTAAGTTAACAGAAGAAAACTATGGACAGGACATCCAATATTATATGCATACCTCATAATAACTTACTGCAGCATTTTGGAGAAATGGGCTATTAATGAGCTATAAAGTCTTTTAGTGTTATAAATACATTGTTTGGAATAAGTTAAATAAAAGAGTGATCAGGTCTGATACTAGATGTCCCATGCTATATGCATATATACAACATATGAATCATTTTTACTGCAGCAATTTGGAGAAAAAAAATTGCTCATTTAAAAGATGTAGAAAAAAAACAATAGTCAGGTCTTATACAGGACATCCCATACTAAACCTCATATAAAGACTTGTTACTGCAGTGTTTTGGAGAAATTGGGCATTAACATTACTCAAAGTGTTATGAAGACCCAATTTTCAATAAATAGACAAAAAACAATGATCAGTTCCTGTACAGAACATCACATACAATATGCATACTACATATAAACACTTCTTACTCCAGCTATCTGGAGAAGTGGGACATTAACATAATCTAAAGTGTTATAAAGACCCCATTTCGATTAAGTAGAAAGAAACAATGGTCAGTTCTTATTCAGGACATCCCATACTATATGTGTACTTCACATGAAATCTTTTTTACTGCAGCGTTTTGGAGAAACTGGGTATTAACCTATTATAAAGTGATATAAAAACCCCATTTCTAATAAGTAGAAAAAAACAATGGACAGTTCTTATACAGGACATACTATACTATATATGTACTTCACATGAAGCGTTTTTACTGCAGCATTTTAAAGAAACGGGGTATTAACATAATATAAAATACTATAAAGACCACATTTTAAATAGGTAGAAAAAATCTATGGTCAGTTCTTATACAGGACATCCCATACTATATGTGTACTTCACATGAAACCTTTTTACTGCAGTGTTTTGGGGAAATTGTATATAATATATTTCAAAGTGTTCTAAAGACCCCAATTCAAATAAGTAGAAAAAAAACAATGGTCAGTTCCTTTACAGGACATCCATACTATATCTGTACTTCACATAAAACTTTTTTTTACTGCAGCATTTTGGAGAAAAGGGGTATTGAAATAAAATAAGGTGCTATAAAGACCTCATTTCAAATAAGTAGAAAAAAACAATGGTCAGTTCTAGTACAGGACATCCCATACTATGTGTGTACATTACATGAAACCTTCTTACTGCACTGTTTTGGAGAAATGAGGTATTAACACAACAAAGTGATATAAAAACCCCACTTCAAATAAGTAGAAAAAAACAATGGTCGGTTCTTATACAGGACATCTCATACTATATATGTACTTCACATGAAACCTTTTTACTGCAGCATTTTAGAGAAACGGGGTGTTAACATAGAAAAAATGTACTATAAAGTCCACCTTTCAAATAAGTAGAGAAAAACAATGGTCAGATCTTATACACGACACCCTTATCTCTGTGTGTACTTCACATGAAAGCTTTTTACTGCAGCATTTTAAAGACACGGGGGAATTAACATAGTATAAAGTAACATAAGGACCCCGTTTTAAATAAGTAGAAATAAACAATGGTCAGTTCTTATACAGGACATCTCGTATTATATGTGTACTTCACATTAAACCTTCTTACTGCACTGTTTTGGAGAAATTGTATATTAATATGATTTAAAGTGTTACAAAGACCCCATTTTTAATAAGTAGAAAAAGACAAGGGTCAGTTCTACAAAGGACATCCCATACTATGTACTTGACATGAAATTTTCTTACTGCACTGTTTTGGAGAAATGGGGTATTAACATAATATAAAGTACTATAAAGACCCCATTTCCAATAATTAGAAAGAAACAATGGTCAGTTCTTATTCAGGACATCCCATACTATATGTGTACTTCACATAAAAACTTTTTACTGCACTGTTTTGGAGAAACGGGGTAATAACATAATATAAAGTGCTATAAAGACCCCATTTCAAATAAGTAGAAAAAGACAATGGTCAGTTCTTATACAGGACATCCCATACTATATCTGTACTTCACATGAAACCTATTTACTGCAGCGTTTTGGAGAAAGGGGGTATTAACATAATATAAAGTGCTATAAAGACCACATTTCAAATAAGTAGAAAAAAAAAACAATGGTCAGTTCTAATACAGGACATAACATACTATATGTGTACTTCACAAGAAAACTTTTTTACTGCAGCTTTTTGGAGAAAGGGGGTATTAACATAATATAAAGTGCTTTAAAGACCCCATTTCAAATAAGTAGAAAAAAACAATGGTCAGTTCTTATACAGGACGTCCCATACTATATCTGTACTTCACATGAAACCTTTTTACTGCAGCATTTTGGAGAAAGGGGGTATTAACATAATATAAAGTGCTTTAAAGACCCCATTTCAAATAAGTACAAAAAAACAATGGTCAGTTCTTATACAGGACATACCATACTATATGTGTACTTCACATGAAACCTTTTTACTGCAGCATTTTGGAGAAAGGAGGTACTAACATATTTTATAGTGCTATAAAGAGCCCATTTCCAATAAGTAGAAAAAAACAATGGTCAGTTCTTACATAGGACATCCCATGCTATGTACTTGACATGAAACTTTCTTACTGCACTGTTTTGGACAAATGGGGTATTAACATAATATAAAGTACTATAAAGACCCCATTTCCAATAAGTAGAAAGAAACAATGGTCAGTTCTTATTCAGGACATTTCATACTTTATGTGTACTTCACATAAAAACTTTTTACTGCACTGTTTTGGAGAATTGGGGTAATAAGCCAATATAAAGTGCTATAAAGACCGCATTTCAAATAAGTAGAAAAAAACAATAGTCAGTTCTTATACAGGACATACCATACTATATGTGTACTTCACATGAAACCTTTTTACTGCAGCATTTTGGAGAAAGGGGGTATTAACATAATATAAAGTGCTATAAAGACCCCATTTCAAATAAGTAGAAAAAAACTATGGTCAGTTCTTATACAGGACATACCATACTATATGTGTACTTCACATAAAACCTTTTTACTGCAGCATTTTGGAGAAATGGGGTATTAACATGATATAAAGTGCTTTAAAGACCCCATTTCAAATAAGTAGAAAAAGACAACGGTCAGTTCTTATACAGGACGTCCCATACTATATCTGTACTTCACATGAAACCTTTTTACTGCAGCATTTTGGAGAAAGGGGGTATTAACATAATATAAAGTGCTATAAAGACCCCATTTCAAATAAGTAGAAAAAGACAATGGTCAGTTCTTATACATGACATCCCATACTATATCTGTACTTCACATGAAACCTATTTACTGCAGCGTTTTGGAGAAAGGGGGTATTAACATAATATAAAGTGCTATAAAGACCGCATTTCAAATAAGTAGAAAAAAACTATGGTCAGTTCTTATACAGGACATACCATACTATATGTGTACTTCACATGAAACCTTTTTACTGCAGCATTTTCGAGAAAGGGGGTATTAACATAATATAAAGTGCTATAAAGACCCTATTTCAAATAAGTAGAAAAAGACAATGGTCAGTTCTTATACAGGACATCCCATACTATATCTGTACTTCACATGAAACCTATTTACTGCAGCGTTTTGGAGAAAGGGGGTATTGACATAATATAAAGTGCTGTAAAGACAGCATTTCAAATAAGTAGAAAAAAACAATGGTCAGTTCTTATACAGGACATACCATACTATATGTGTACTTCACATGAAACCTTTTTTACTGCAGCATTTTGGAGAAAGGGGGTATTAACATGATATAAAGTGCTTTAAAGACCCCATTTCAAATAAGTAGAAAAACACAATGGTCAGTTCTTATACATGACATTCTATACTATATATGTACTTCACATGAAACCTTTTTACTGCAGCATTTTGGAGAAGGGGTATTAACATAATATAAACTGCT